AATGGTATTAATTTTGAAGGGTAATTTAAAAGAATATTACATCATTATTGCAGGTGAATGATACTAAAAGTACAAGAGATTTGGTTCCATAGTACCTAATTTGCAAGATGTTGAGAATTGATTCCATCTCACCGCCCAATATCACTTGTATCACAAAGCTTAGGATCCTGAAAATTCAGTTTGCAATCTCATTTAAATCTCCAAAATAATAGCAAGATAAATCATGACAAAACAAATGGCTAATTGACTCATCTTTCAAAAGGTGCTTAATTTAAGCCATACCTAGAAACCAATTTATAAAGATGTATAGATCACAAAAATGCCATAAAACCCACAATAAAGAAAAAAAATGAAGAAAGTGAAATGGAATAATAAAAGAAAAATGTTGTTTCAACCACAAATATTAACCAATCTTATTACCCTCAATTCTTTTTAACTTAGTTTTTGGAAATTTTGGCATACTAAATACAATTACCATCAAATGACCAACGAACAAAACTCTAAGGAACAAGCGAAAGAAAAAGAAGAGAATGAAATGCAGTAAACAAGTCAAAATTTACTTACTAATTGGAATTTATGAGAGCTGAGCAATTATTTTAAAGCTGTAATTTCCCCCCATGCCATGCCTTTTCTGTTGTGGTGATTCTTAGATGGATCTCCCTTTTCTGTTCACTTCAAACCATAAAAATTATTTCCTTTAGCAACTAAAAGAATCTAAGATTGCAAATGATACAAAGAAAATGAAATAAAATAAATATGGTTGTTTAGGTAGTGAAAAAACACCTGCAAAGGTGGAAGAAGGCTCGCGATGAAGGACTGCTAGAGCGTTCTCCAGTGCTCAACTCAGCCAAGTAAAGGGAATTTGCAATAATAACAATATATCAAACATGAAAGGTATTACAAAAATTACATTTCAAATTGATAAAGAATCACATTCTATCAGTCAAACAGAGTAGAAATCCCAAAACACAACATGCTTGACAACTTAATTACAACAAAAAACAAATTACCAAATGAAATCAGCACACTAAACCAAGTCCATCTAATAAATAAAAGACACATAAATTGAAAAAAAAAAAGACGATTATTGTCAATCATATGAAGGAGTATTGGGTTTGGCTGATTCTCATTTTTCTTTTGCTTTTCTGCTCCGAGAGAAGTTGCCTTCGCTTGATAAAAGATCCTACATGCAATATTAGAGCTTTAAAATATGTCAGAATCTAGAGAGAAGAGGCGACCAACAAATCGATCCTAAGAAAAATTATAGGAATTGAAGACATAGTGAGTGATAAAGTATGATTCCATAGTACCAAACTAGTTTGCAAGATGTTGAGAAATCTCAGTATATCATAAATAAATAAATAAAGGAAAAGAAGAAAAAATGGAAATATTAATGTTCCAACCACAATTTTATTAGTTGATCATGTTTTCCCAAGTTTTTAGGATGATAAGCATAATTCTCATTTTATTTACTCGGTGATCAAAAGGGGTTCAAATTCCACCACACATACCCAATACCCAAGGAAGAGAATAAAATAGCGAAATCTTGTACTCGAAAACACCAAAATTAAAAAAAACCAAACTAGGAATAGCGAAATCGCAACTTACAAAATTGGGGTTTATGGGACATGAAAGCAGAGGGTGGATGCGTCTCAATCTCATCTCTCCTAGAATCCCTTCTGTCCCACATCGACTTTCTCGTTGGCTGTTGTAGAGGAAAGGCTTTTACTACCACGTGTTATTGTGGTAGCACGTGACTTGTTATTTACACACATCTGCTGCTTTACTGTTATTTGAACAAAATTGAATATTTCTCAAGGACTACCCTTGTAGATGAGATAATAGAAATTTTGAGCAATTAAACTATCAAATTCAAATTATAATAAACCAATCAACACCTTACGATGGAAATTTCACGAAAGGTTGGAGTATGTTCTTAGCATTAGGATGATCCCACTCCACTGATTCCCACCATTCTTTTGAGCCTTTCGAAATGTAGATTTGTTTGAGACGAGGAGGAGGAGATGGTTGGCCATTATCAAGCAGGGGAAGTTGCATAGGGATCCTTTTTAACTCAGGACAAAGCCCTATCAAAATATTTTCAATAGAATCGCAAACCATAACTCCTTTGGCACTACAAATGCTCTTCAATTGGGGTAACCCTATCAACCACAATCTCCTTAACTTGGGAAAAGTGAAAGTGAATTTATCCGATGATGCATCTGAATCTGATGAGGTTATTATCTCCTCCATTTGTTTACAATCAACAACATCAATCGCCTCTAAGTTTTGGAGGGTCTGTAGGAGCTCAAGTGGTAGCAACTTCCTCATTCCTGAACATGTAACTATATTAAGTGCCTTAAGATTGGAAAAGACACGTGGTGGTGTTGCTACTCTTTCCACTCTCACGAGTGCCCACAACCTAGGCAAACCCCGAAGATACAAGCTTTCAAGCTTATCAAGTACTGGTTTACACGATGAGGAGAAGGATGAATCCAACTCAACCACGTACTCTGTCTCTTCACAATTACTAATAATACAAACACCCAACTCGGTTGCATTCTCTAACAAAGCTATTTTGCTTAAGCTACTGCTGATGTTTTTACATTTATGGATCCGCAAAAGCTGAAGTTTATCTGGAAGCACCATACATTCTTCTCCAATGTCACACTCACTAATTATAAGTCTGCATTTATCTTTAGGATTGTCAATACCTATTTTACGATCCATTTTTGTTCCCACTAGAAGCTGGTAAGCAATAAAACTTTGGAAAATTTTAAACTCCCTCAGAAGATAATTGAAGTCTTGCATATCACCAAAATTACATTCTAAAATCTCCAACTTTCTCAATTTAGCAACCTCTTCTAAATTTATCTTTACACTAGTTGATCCCCAATCATTTCTTGCAACCAAATACTGGAGACTAGATAATTTAGACAATATTTCTGTTGGAATCTCTTTCAAATTTTTACAATATAAATCAAGATATTCAAGACTTGCCAACATCTCCATGCCTTGAGGGACCACCTCAATTGCTGCCCTTCTTAGATCCAACTTCTTCAATGCCACAAGCTTCTCTAAGGAAGGCAAGCACTTTAACCTCTGACACCCCCTTAACCGCAGTGCAGAGAGAGACTCCAACTTAGAGATGGAACTAGGTAAAGCTTCAATCCTGGTTCTAGAGAGATCAAGAACCTTGAGTCCACTCATATCTTCAAGAAAGGATTCTGGAATCTTTGTCAAAGGATTGTTTGATAATATCAAAGTTGACAAGGTCAGACACTTTGGAGTCAAACCAACAGGAATTTTTAAAATGTAATTGTCCATTAGAGACACCTTGTTAAGAGCAATTGCCCACTCATGCTCATTTGGTACCTCTGTCAATTTCATACCAGCTTTGATCATGTATCCAACTTCAGGACCGATGCTTTTGATAGCCATGTCTCTCACCACATCATGCACCTTAAAAACTTCATTAGAAAAGAGATCAATAGTTTTCTCTAATAAGCAGTTCTTTTCAAGCCTATTTAAGAAACCATTAGCCCTATCATAAGCATCTTGTCTTTTTTCTGACTCATGAATCAACCCTTCATCAATCCAGCCTTCTATCAACTCTTCTCTAACAAACTCATAATCTTCTCGAAATAAGGAGCAATATAGAAAACATTTTTGGATTTCTAAATCTCTTAGATGGTCATAACTAAATCTTAACCGCCTAAATATGTTTTCCTCCATATCATTCACACTTTTTACGCGTTGGCGTAAATCATTTAGTGCATTTCTCCACTCTACAATATTAGGTTCACCTTCTCCCTTCATGCCCCCTGCTATTACAACAATTGCTAGTGGTAAACCGGCGCACTCCTCCACAATAAGCTTCAAAATTTCTTCCAATCCTGCAACTTGTAAAACATCGTGTCCAACCCTGCTGAGGAATAAATTCAAAGACTCCTCTGCTGAAAGAGGCTGCACTTTAACAATCTTACAACTCAAATAATTGCATACTTGAGCTGTTCTACTGGTAATAACTACTTTACATCCATTCTGTAGGGTTGGTTCGGGGATTCCAACATCACTCAAAGAAAAATTGTCCCATACATCATCTAATATTAGCACAAATCTCACTCTTCCCATCATCTCCATTAGTGCTGCAGGCCGCATCATTATTTCTTCTGGAAGTGTTCTGCCCATAGCAAGTGCAATCTTCCTTTGTAGTTCTGAAACCTTGAGAGGATATGATACAGTAACCCAAATCACTTTCTGAAATCTACTCATTGTCAGCAAATCATTGTTAACATGCTTCATGATTGTAGTCTTACCAACTCCACCCATACCACAAACCCCAATCATTCCAACTTCATTGCCCATCAAGTGCTCCCAAATTTCATCTTTAGTAGAAATTTCACCCTCTAAATTTCCTATTGGAATTATGCTTCCAGGAGCCGGAGCTCTCTCAATCCCAAGGCTTCCTTCGAAAATGCCCCTCTTTCGAATCCTCTTCACCTCTTTAATAGTTTTACGCACATCTTTATCAAGACTGGCACGTTTGTAGTATGGAACTGTGCCTACTCTTTCTTCAACATCTTGTATGTCTTGTTCGATCTTTTGAACATCTTCAAGCCATCCCTTTACTTC